AGGGGAGGAGAGTATGTTAGGGTTCTGTCGAGAAAAAGTTTAAAGTTCAAGTGAGTTATATGAGACATCCTAAAGTTCAAGGTTGTTAAGTCAGATTAAAATGTTTTAGGGGGTTATGTGCAAAAGATTTTGAGCAACAATATTTCTCTCTAAAAGGTATATTTAGAATATCAAAGTATTAAAAGTAAAGGGGAAAAATGTTTCAAGGCCCCAAAAAAAGAAATGGGATGTGACCCAGCCCCACCAATTATCTCCCTTAGCCTTCAGCCCCAAAAAATGGTGAAAATTGTGGCATAGACCCAAAAGCCCATACATATACATCTAGCGGGTGTATTTTGTTGCTACCTGCCTAAAATACCCTTATCTCTCTCACAGAAAACCGGCTGAATGGGTTCTCTTGTTCCCTGATATCTCCCAACGCATTTATGGCGAAGCGATAGTGGAAAGCGGGGATAAAAAGCGCGGGTTCCCGCCATTACTGTCTGCTTCATCATCCTTTGTTATAAATTGGTTAGTTTTATCTCTCACTCTCTCATTAATGAAATTAGGTTTTTTTCTTCAACTGTTAACAACCCTTATGCGCCTGAAATCCTCTTAATTACTCGTCAACTCCTCATAATTGCCTTCATAACTGTCCTCATAACTCTCAACCACCCCTAATGGTCGCCAATGACTTGATTTCCATGGTGTCTTTAGGCGAGAATGCCTTATTCATGAAGCTAAGTTCAACAACAAACTTTTATGAATTGAAATTTGATGTGTCCGAAAAATTGAAAGTATCTGAAGAAGCTTTATCCTTGATATTTAAATCTGAGAGGCACTCCAACCTTAGTTTTTCAGTTGACAACGATGATGATTTGAAGTGCATGTTGGAGCATAATCGAAATATTGGTTGTACGGAGATTCACATGCAAGCTGCTGTTAATGTAGAGTGTTCCACTTCAAGGAAAAATCAGATTAGGGAAATGTAAGTAATTAATGAACTCTTTATAACATTGGGCTTTGTATGATGTAAACATTGTTATTTTTTTCTTCAACTTTCAACCATCCCATATGTGCATTAAATCCCTCAATGTAAGTTATTACTGATTTGTAAGTAAACAATGAACTCTGTCAGGAACAGGGCTATGTGTGATGATAAGCCAATTGTGATTTCAGGTTTCAATGCTAACTTGGGAAAAAATAGTTATCATCTCTGATGGTTAGATGTTAACTCTTCATCTTATAGGTTAATTTTCCAAGAGATATGTTAACCTTTACATGAACATGTTAATTGTCGCAGGAACATGGTTAATTTTACACCCATGTAGTTAACTTTTGTTGTACTATGTTAAGGTTTACGGAAAATGGTTAATTTTACACCCATTTAGTTAACTTTTGTTATACTATGTTAACTTTAGTCCTACTGCTGTTAACTTAAATTATCAGAAGATAATATAACATATTGTGTATGATATCTCACTGGTTGATTAATTTGTGCAGTAGTGATGCCTCTTTGAATGCATAATATAGTCCTCCTCCTCCAGGAAGTGTATCCAATTCAGAAAGAATCCAAAATAATTTCCCGTCTGGTGAGATTGTAATGAGAACTGATGATATTCTCAACAACACTTTCAGCATTCCTCAATGATGGCACACATCATTAACTGAAAAGGGGCAACAATTTGAGACTGTAAACGAATTGAGACTAGCTTTGCAGTACGTTCCATGGTGAAAAAATTTGACTATGAATTTGTAAAGAATGAACCCAAACGTATCCAAGTCTGTTGTCGATATAAGGAGACATATGGATGCCCTTGGATGCTCTTTGCATCTCCTGTTAAGTATGATAAAAGAATTAAAATCAAAATGTTTGTGAATGAACACAGTTGTGGACAACATACTAACTTGTCAAGACAATCACGAGTATCTCGCAAATTCATAGCAGCCCAATTGCGACCGATATTAAAGGCGCGACCTGAAATCCGACCAATTGATGTGCAAAAAGAGTTCCTCACTCGATATGGATTAAGACTTGAATACAGTAAGATATGGTGGGGCAAAGAAAGAGCGCGGGAGGATATGTATGGTGATTGTTATGAGGCTTATGATTAATTAAGATGGTAAATTTTATAGTTATTTTATTAAGTGTACAAATTTTTATCATAGCCGCTTATAGTACAATTGTTAGTTGTTGATTTATCATGCAATATCTTATCCTTAGATGTTTCATGTTAGTTTTCATTGATATGTTCCAACTGTCATTGTGGAATGTTATGTTTCATGAAAACTTGTGAGCTTTTATGTTAATATATTACCTTAATGTTCCAATGTATTATATTTACATGAGCAGAAACTACATTGTTGTACACGTATGAGCAAATGTTGATGGAAACGAATCCAAGAAGCTACATATGCATTGACCAGAATGAAGGAAGGTTCAAAAGACTGTTTATATGTCATGCCGTTTGCATCGTTGGTTTCTTAAATGGGTGTAGACCCCTATTATTTTTGGATGGGACCTTTTTGAAAGACAGATACAAAGGCATGCTCCTGAGCGCCATAGCATACGACGGAGACCAAGGGATATTTCCGGTTGCGTATTGTATATGTGATCAGGAAAATGTTGATAATTGGAGATGGTTCCTTCAAGGCCTGTGGTCCATACTGTATGAAAGGTTAGACCCGTACAATCCTCCCCATCAATTGATAATTATTTCTGATGCCGACAAGGGGATTCGAGAAGCCGTGAGAGAATATTTCCCTGAAGCAATTCACTCACGATGCGTTCTGTACCTAGTTGAAAATTTTAGAACAAAGCTAAAGGGTTTGGGAATGAAAGCAAAGGACACACAAGTTTTGGGGAGTTTGCTCCAATCTGCTTGCTATTGCTATAAATACATTATAGCGGAATGAAACGACTACATGAAGGAAATTTATGAGATGGCTCCAGTCGCATATGAGATTGTACTTTGTTATTCGCCAAAGAATTGGGCAAATGCATTCTTCCCTGGCTTCAGGTAATGCATTCATCTTAGATTATGACGTTTTGCAGTTGATGTTAACTATTCTACATATATGTGAATTTTTCTTTCTATAGGTTAACTTTGTCTGATATATGTTAACTTTCAGCAATATATATTAACACCGATGTTTTTATGTTAACTTTGAGCAGTAAAGGTTAAGTTTTGTTGTTACGTGTTAATTTTATTACATATTGGATGCCCATCATACTATCAATTATTTTATGCTTTGCAGATATGGTCATGTAACCTCTAATGTTGCAGAATCCTTTAACAGCTGGATACGTGAAGCTCGATTATTACGTATCCTGTAAATGATAGAGCATATCCGAAAATAAATTATGAGTCGCCTGAACAACAGACGGATAATGACTGATAAGTGGACAAACTATCTGTGCCCTAAAGCTGAGCAGATTGTTAGAGAAAATATGGAAAGAGGGCGTACTTTAGAGATTAAACAATCTAGAGATGATATATTAGAAGTGCAGTCACATAGAACTACTCACGTTGATTTGGAGAAGAGGACGTGCACTTGGCGAGCTTGGGACGTAACCCGTATTCCTTGTGTGCATGCTTATGCAGTCATTATTTATATAAAAAGAGATGTATATCAATATTGTGATTGGTTCATGTCCGTAGAAGCGTTTAAGAAGAGCTACGACGAAATATTATATCCCATCCCAGATTATGAGAAGTGGAGTGTGTTCAGGGATGAAATACAGATTTTGCTATCAATTACCACTAAGAGGAGGGGAAGAAATAAAACAAGACGCATAAACAACAGAACCATTTACAAACGGCCAGTCAAATGTTCTCGGTGCAAAGCTGTTGGTCACAATCGAGCAACCTGCAACGAGCCCATCTGGTGACTAGTGTGTTTCTGCTTCTTACAACAATACTTTTGTATGAGACAGCAAAGGTTGTTTTTAAGTGGTTAAGTATATAGTGGTGGACTTTTGTAATCTGTGATAATGATCGATTAATCATTTTGTTCATGCTAGCAATATCTAAAAGCAAGGCTGAAAGATGTTTTCAGATTTGTGCTTGTTCATCTTAGATTTTTTTAAAAGATTTTGAGTTTAAATTGGCCAAAATCTCCAACATCTCATTCACTGTTCTAACGGGTAACTGCCCATCATACTATGCCAACAGCTATATTACAACGGCTAGTTTCTTGTTCCTTATGCAATATATAATGTGCCCAAAGCAAAGCTAAATTTAAATGGGTGTTCTATCTTCCCTGTATTCCCAGTCTGAGAGTGTGAGATGAGAACATCAGAGATATCTCAGTCACAAGAAGAGGTATGTTGTTTCTGTCAAATTCCAACACCCATGAAGCAGTGTAAAAATGGGAAGAATAAAGGAAGATACTTCTGAGGATGTGCAAATTTCCCAAATAGGCAATGCAAGTTTTTTGCTTGGGCTCACAAAGAGAATGCAATGCCCAGTAAGATTATTCCATTTTGCCCAGAAGTCCCCGTTGAAAATGAGATAGCGGCCAAAACAAAGCAATTGAAGAAAGCACTGAAGCAATCGAACCGTAAAGTCGAAAAATAAAAACTTTGCTCATTCTTCCTATGTTGTTTTTGTATGTTACTAATTTTCTTCAACATTGTGATCTGTAAGATGAAAATCAACTGAAGAAACTTCAGTTTGTTATGCTTTTGCTGTAAGTGGTTAAATATTATGTGTCAACTTTCACTAAAAGTAGTCAGTTTTAGTGACGTTTATGTTAATTTCCCAATTGAAAGTGGTGATGTATCAGAGTTATACGTTTACTTCTACTAAAAGTGGTTAATTATCAGACTTTCACGTTAGCGTTTACTGAAAGTGGTTATTTATCTAAGTTATATGTTAACGTTTTCTGAAAGTGGTTATGTTCTCGGAGTTATATGTTAACTTTTACTGAAAGTGGTTAACTATCAGAGTTATACGTTAACTTTTAGTGAAAGTGGTTTTTTTTACCAATTTTTTGGCAAATCTGTTTACTTTCAGCGTAATAGGTTATCTCTGTGGTTGAGTACATATCATCTTTTCTTATATTATGTTAACCCTTAGGAGGAATATGTAAATCAATGTTGGTTTTTTCTCAATATATTAGTAACATGTTCTATCAGTATAAGTCAACATGAACTGTGGTGCATTTCAACCTGTTATTAGCAATGATTACACTAGCAACCAGTCTCACAACCAGATATGGGCATCTTCTCATCCACACTATCAACCAGTTACACAAACAATGGAATAACTGTCAAAGAGAATGATACACAGCTACAATAATGTTAACTAAATTTAAATGCCAGTTAGTTTTGTTCCCAATTCAATCTGTTCGTATACATCACTTTTCAGGATATCATTCACCCATCCTTTTCTACTGTCTCCCCTTGATTTTTCTGTTCTCATCCTTCTATTAGGAGTTCAGTTGCAAGCCTGGCACGGATGACTTCAGACTCGTCAGAGTGATTAGTTACTTGAGTGGTATCTACCCCATGAATTATAGCATTTATATATAAAGGAGCGAAAAGCCCACAATCAAAGCTACATGATATAAGATGGAAAGATAGTTAGATATAACATGCTAAATAAAATGAATTTTTTTTAAATTTAGTTAACATACTAACACATGTTTAAATGCATGAAATACTAACATTCCAGTCTGTTGCTCGCAAGGGACGGCTTCATATCGAAACTTTCTCCAAACATTATTCGGATCAAAACCAGACTTCATATGGTCCATGAAAGCAATTACTTTATTTACTGGCTCAATGTATGCACTATGGCCAGCCAAGCTATAATGCTTGACAACGTCCTCATCCAATCTTACTTCAGCCACATGCCAGTGGTCATGACGCACAAGCGGGATAAGGAGTACATTCTTCCTTGCGGCAACATGCTTTTGTATGAAAAATATGTATAGATGTGGAAAATTTGGGGTGACTGCATAAAGGCTATGCTGTATTGCCAAAAAATAATGATAAGCCAATTGTAAACGTGAGATAAAAATGGTAGGAGATTGAACCTAATGCTTACGCAGAAGAATGTCGATACAACCCCATATTGGTTGCCCATGGACTCCACATCTGGCCTCTCTAGCCATGTGCTGAGCCTATCTACAAGAGCTTCCATCACCTGTAAATTTACCATGGAGCAGATGCAAATTAAATTACAC